CAATCTACGGAAACCAGTATGAGAGCCGCGAAGAGCACTTGCTCTTGACCATGTTCCAGGTAGGTTGCGCCTCCAGCTTTGCGCATCACAACTAACCTCGCTCAGTCTGTACTCACGTATCAATTCGACAACACCCCAGACTACAGCTCGCTCCTACGTGCCAACACACCCGTCTCGCGCATGATGACCACATACACCCGCCGAGGACCCGGCCAGAGCTACCTCAAGGTCGTCTTGCAGGACAGCATCAACTCGCTCATCGAGCTGAAGGACCTCGATCTTGAGATTAACCCGCTCAAGGTATACGAGAAGATGGTCACTGAGCTCGAGATCCAGGGAACGCTTCCCGCAAACCTGCCCAAGGGCGTTACCGCAGAGCAGGCTGCCGAGAACGAGACGGTACAGAACATCATCACACCGCGAGTCAACATGCTCATGGAGATTGCCAACAACTTCCTCACAACCATCATCAAAGGCCTCGAGGAGACGCCGTACGGCATCCGATGGATATGCAAGCAGATTCGAAGTCTGTCGAGACGAAAGTACCCTGATGCCCAGGACCAGACCATTTGCACTCTCATCGGAGGCTTCTTCTTCCTGCGCTTCATCAACCCCGCCATCGTCACCCCAAGATCGTACATGCTCATCGATGTGCTGCCAGCAGAGAACCCCAAGCGGACATTAACGTATATCGCCAAGATGCTGCAGAATCTCGCAAACAAGCCATCGTATGCCAAGGAGCCCTACATGGTCAAGCTGCAGCCGTTCATCCACCAGAACAAGGAGCGGATCAACAAGTTCCTGTTGGACCTGTGCGAGGTACAGGACTTTTACGATACTCTTGAGATGGACAACTACGTTGCTCTGTCTAAGAAGGACCTAGAGCTCTCGATTACCCTGAACGAAGTGTATGCGACGCACTCGCTCTTGGAGCGACATGCTGCTGAACTGGTAAGCAACCCGTACATTCAGCGCATAATCCTACTAACAACACCAGGCCAAAGAAGACAGTTCGCATCTAGGCGTCATTCTCAACGAGCTCGGCTCTGCGCCAGCACAGCTTCCCCGAAAAGAGAACAGGGCCATCAACCTCCCGCTATTCAGCAAATGGGAAACGCCGCTTGACGATCTGACCGCAGCGCTCGACATTACGCAAGAAGAGATCTTCTTCATGGAAGCCAAGTCGACCTTCGTCATGATCCTTCGTTCGCTTCCTTCCAACACTTCCATCACGCGACGGCCATTGCGCCTCGACAGGATTGCGGAAGCAGCTGCCACGACCAAGAACGACTCTGTCATGGTCAAGAAGGGTATCCGTAGCATGGAGCTGCTCAGCCAACTGCAGGATCTTGGCGTGATTGACAAGGAAGACGGCTTCTCATTGCTGCGAGACGAGGTCGAACAAGAGCTGGTGCACTTGGGCTCCATGAAGGAAAAGGTCATTGAAGAGACACGGAAGCTCGAGGAAGTGTTCCGCACCATTCGCGACCACAATGGCTTCCTAGTCAGCCAGCTTGACACGTACAAGTCGTACCTCCACAACGTCCGCAGTCAATCGGAAGGCAAGACAAGGAAACAGCAAAAACACCAAGTCCTCGGACCCTACAAATTCACCCACCAGCAGCTCGAGCGAGAAGGCGTGATTCAGAAGAGCAATGTCCCGGAGAATAGGAGAGCCAACATTTACTTCAACTTCACGAGTCCACTCCCCGGCACATTTGTCATCTCCCTCCACTACAAAGGGCGGAATCGCGGTCTTCTCGAGCTCGACCTCAAGCTCGACGATCTGCTGGAGATGCAAAAGGACAACCAAGAAGATCTGGACCTCGAATATGTCCAGTTCAACGTGACCAAGGTACTGGTCCTCCTCAACAAGCGATTTGCACGTAAGAAGGGATGGTAGATTCGTCTCCTCCCTGCGCGCGACATTGCGTACACACCGTCACGAAAAAGATACGATACCCCCGATTATTACTACGTCTTTCCTGCTGTTTGACGCCCCCGACACCAATCTACCTACACTCATTTTCCCGATTCCTTTCTCATTACTACCCAACTACAACGCGGAACACAAAAACCCGTCTCTACGAATCATCTAGTCATCAGCCCGGAGTACAGGCGTATATTGGGCGCATCTCCTATATTTTCGAGGATACCCCCACCCCCGGTGAAAGGACTGGTTTGGGCTGCTGCTGAGGATACGGTGGAACATGTCTGATTCCGTTTTTCGCAGTTTACTTCCTTTTTGGTGGTTGTTCTGCTGTGATGGTTTTGTTTTGTTTTTGGCTTCTAGCGCGCTCTGTTTATTATGGAGGTTATGCAGTCCTTTTTTGTTGTTCATCTGCTTTTTCTTTTGAACTTTTCAAAGTCTCTCGCTACTAATTACGAGTTCATCGGCAGGCATCCGAAGTTCCTACCTCGCTGCTGTTTTGATTGGCAGTTTTTATCAGAGTCCTGTTTTACTTGCGAGCGAACACACGAGCGATATCCACAGTTGGTTTTGTACGATATATAGGAAACGCGTATGTGAGTATGCGATGGTGTTTTTTTGGAAGCAAGCTGCGCGGTTGCCGACTGATGCAGATGTGGGCTGGTTGTGTGGTTTATCTTGTCCCTACAATGGAATTGAGCGTTTGTAGCTCGTCATTTTGATACTTCTACATGTGTGGTTTTCGTGTATGTGATGTACGTGATGTACGCGCAGTGATGTTGACAAGACTATCTATCACCTTGATGAACAGCTCAGTGATGCATGGATATGCATGCGTTGTTTTCGATGCGCACGTCAGGTACGGACCGACATGCGATAACGCCTCCCTTGTCGCTACGTCACCTGTCTCGCCCAGTGTACCCGAATGACCTGATTCTCCCCCACATATTCGCAATCGCAATCGCGGCTCTGGCATGTGCAATCCGATGATAGCCAGAATGATGAATGCACTTAATCTCTCCAGCGGAAAATGCACCGGATGTTGTCGGCTTTCACACTCGACACTATATCGGCAAGATAGATAAGAAGGAGATAACAGGTACCTACCTAATGCATGCATCATGCGAGATGGCAACCTCCCACCACACCCGTAGACGCCTCATGCACACGCAAGACGCAAGACGCAAGACGCAAGCACGCAAGCAAGACACCAAGGTGCCAGGTGCGGAGCGGGTGCCTGTCACACGTGCCCCACGCTGATACAGTGAGGCGTGAGCGGAATGCGGATTGTAGGCAGCCAGCCAATCACAGCGCTACACACCTTGCGTCCGCGCCTTGTCGATCGGCTAAGAGTCCGGGGTCTGCGGTGGAGCTGCGAGGTTAGGGTTGGAGGGAGGAGTCAGGCAGACGCGATGAGGGCGCGGACTGGGCGGTGCGGGCTATACCGCGGACGGCTTGGGGTTGGGATGTCCGAGGGTATGACTGTTACTCCTCGTTGTTGGTGCTTCCTCTCTCCTACTTCTTGTTCTTGTTCTCTGGTGCTTTGGGGGAATTGCATGTTTGATTCATAACGGCTGTTCTGCTGGTCTGGTACTCTTGGTCCTTGGTCCTTATCTCCATTACCTACCTGCCTACCTACCACCCACTACATCTATCTATCTACACAGCAACTCCCATCCCACCATGTCGTCATCCTCATCCACCGCCATCGCGATACCAAAGCGTAAGGGCAAGGGCCCTGCGTCTTCTTCCCACCACCACCACCACCACCACTCCTCCTCCTCCTCATCCTCGTTCGCGGCTTCCACGCCTTCGACGCCGGATACGCCGAATACCTACAACTACAACTACAACTTCACGCCGTCGTCGAACCGCTTCTCGTATGGTAGTGCGGGCGGTAGCCCTAGCTTTGGCTCCACGCCTTCCTCGTCGTCTGGTAGCCCTCAGAGCAGTTCCCTAAGCGGCGCGCGCAGGCAGAGTCTGATGAGCGAGACGTTTTCGCGGCAGGAACATACTGTTATCAATGTGGGGGAAGAGGAGGGGGAGGGTGCGCTGAGGCTGATTACTTGTGTTAAGGCTAGTCAGGGGTTTGATTGGAATATGGGTATGTCTTCCTTCCTCCGTCTTCGCTGGACGATGGTTACATGGATTTGAGCTAATGACGGTGTGTGCGACAGAGATGTTCCTTCCTTCCTACGTCGACTACCACTTCGATGATCTCGAGCGCCGGCAGGATCCTGTGAAGGATATTATTGTTACGGATGAGGAGGTTAGGAATATGTTCCCGTCATAGGGGATTGGCTGGGTGGTGCGGAGTACCTGTGGAGAGATGCGTGGGCATGATACAAGCGCAAGTTCTCAGGAGATTGGGGCACTACACAAACTGTAGTGGGTCTTGCAGGATGTAGAGAGCCTTGTAACCGTACAAAGCTCTCTACATCCTGCAAAGCCCTCTACACATTGTGTGGTATTCTGTTTCTCCTGAGAACTGGCGCGTGGTAATGGATGTGCATATGCTTTGGCATTTTATGGATTACGCGGTATGGAAGTCATGTTTATATGGGTTGGGATAGGCGTTCGGTATGGAATCATGGGCGTTCGGATTGAGGGCTGTATATCATGAGACTGGACTGGATGGGTTATGGCGTTGCGGGATGCGGTTACTCGCTGCTCATGTGGTTGAGGGATTATCTATAAGGATATATCTCAAATCAAACAAATCACACTTAACGATACATTATCCTGTATCCAACTGTATCGACCGCGTTGTTCGAGTGCAGCTTCCAAGGACGCAGCAGCCCCACACCTCGGCCCCGATAAGGCGGGCTGATAAGCCGACAAAGACGCGCGCGGTCCACGTTCCGCGTTCGCAAACAAGAACCATAACAAAGTCAACTCACCACAACGACGACCCGCATTCCACGACTCAACACACTGCTACTACCCAGAACAGCCACAACAACACCTCCGCGCAAACCGTCCATCCAACTACAAGAGCGCACTCGCCCCATAAACCCCCACCACAGCGCACGCGCGCCCACCAATCCCCCCAAACACCAAAACCCCCAAAATGGACACCTCCCACCGCAAAATCGAACTCCAATCCCCCTCGGACCTCACCTTCCTCACATCGCAAATCCGCACCGCCGCGCGCCAGAAACTCGACTTGCACCTCCCGCCCGTGCCCTCCAGCGCTACGAACGGCGATGCGCCAGACGAGTTACGACGCTCGGTTGAGGACCTCGTTGAGATATTTGTTGCGAAAGTGCTGCAGGGGATAAGGCATAATGTTAGTATCAATGGGATTGATGTTGTGGAGAGTGGGGAGGAGATGGATGGGGTTGTTGGCCAAAACGGAGGGGGAGGTGGTGGTGGTGGAGGTGGTACAGGAGAAGGCGAGAGCATGGTCGAAACAGTGGAATACGAACCTTTCGACGATAAACTGCGGAGTCAACTATCTGCTACAGTAGCGAAACGCGATGCGCTCATTGCGAAGATAAGTCAGCAACGAAGGACGACGCCGAAAGTTGCGGCGGAGACGTGGATGAAGGGGTGGGAAGAGGAGGGGAGGGTGTGGGCGGACATTCAAGAGTCACTACAGAAAGATGCTGCTGGTGGTGGGAATGGAGATGGGGATGGGGATGTGGCGGATGTGGAGGCGCTGCAGAGACAAGATGAGGTTGAGAGGAATTGGGAGAGAGCAGTCATGGGGTTGCAGAGGTTGAATAAGGGGTTGCCGGAGACGAGGGCAAGGTTGGAGAGGGCGGGGGATGTGGTGGGGTATTTGGGGGGTGAGAATGGGAAGAAGTGAGGGTTGTTTTGGGAGAGGTCTGCTATGAGCGTTTTTCTTTTCTGGAGTATATGGACTGGTTGGGAATCGGCAGGTTATGGGATACCCATGCGTATTGCTATTACAGGTATCGCTTCGCCAGGATACTAGGTTACTTGCTGCTTATGTGAATATGAGATGTATAGCACAAGAGTCGTTTTTGAAAGGAAGGCGTGTTATGCAAGTATCTTGTACGTGGTCAAAGGCGTCTTTTGTTCTGAAGTTGATGACCGCCCCAATGTGACTTTTGAGATGGTCTCATCATCTACGTGCCACCCGTCATCACATTTGTCACCAGTCCGAAGATGCCAACATCGTCTATCAAATGTTGATTACACCAACCTATTATGAACACTGTACACAATGCTAGTTGGCGAGGTCACAGTTTTTAACTATGTTGATAGCATCGTAGGACTAACGCGATCTCACGGCCCTTTTCGTCGGTGCTGACCACGCCCATCAACCCTGCACTCAACTTGACCACACCACCTGCCACTTTGTCGCCTTCTGTTCGATCGAACAAGTTGTTTGAGCTTCGCGCTTTCAAACCTCTAGTCTACAATCACATGTGGGAACCTTCCTCGGCAACATTCGGCGCGTCAAGCTTGCAAAAGCCATACGTCATGGCGTCAACGCCGACTTCCGTTGGTCGACCCGCAAGCACCCGGCGAGTGGGTGGGTGTCGATAAATAAAACTTTAGTTTTGATAAACACTCCTTTGGTTCAATATTCAAGGATTGCGAGTGTAACTTTGATTGTCAAGACTGAAAGATGCTGTCGCCGACTCGTATGTCGCTGTTGCCGGGTGGTGTTAGGGAACTGGTGTCTGCGCCTACGATGAGGTCGCGCACGGCATCGCTATCTCGGACAGGAGCTTTGATAAGCGCAAAGTATGGGAAGAGCTTGGAACAAAAGAGGATGATCACGATTGAGCAATTGGATAAGAGGAGAGACAGTACGTTGTTCTCCTTGCTCAACCTTACCTACTCTAGCACAAGACCCCAGCTACTAACAACCCCATCCCAGACCGCGAGCGCGTAGTCATCCTAGGATCCGGCTGGGCAGGCTTCACAGTCGCCCGCAGTCTCGACTCCTCCAAATTCCAAACGCTCGTCGTATCGCCACGATCCTACTTTGCTTTCACACCTCTCCTTGCCTCCACCGCAGTCGGCACCTTGGAATTCCGGACCGCGCTCGAACCCGTGCGCAGCCGGCGGACTAAAGTCGACTTCTTCCAGGGATGGGCCGACGATGTCGATTTCAAGAACAGGACTATTACGATTGAAGAGGCGGTTGACGATCCGAAACAAGGTGTTGCACTGACTACGGATCGACATGCTGGGGAGACGGCGGAAGAGAGGGAGGCGGAGAGGAAGAAGGAAGCGAAAGTAGGGAAGCTGTTTGATGTCGAGTACGACAAGTTGATTGTGACGGTGGGGTGCTACAGTCAGACATTCGGTACGCCGGGTGTAAAAGAACATGCCTTCTTTCTCAAAGACGTAGGCGATGCGCGCAGGATCCGGAATCGTATCTTAGCATGCTTCGAAGGAGCGGCCCTGCCCACTACCTCCATCGAAATGAAGAAGCAGCTCCTCAACTTCGCTGTCGTGGGCGGTGGACCCACTGGCATCGAATTCAGCGCGGAGTTGCACGACCTGATCAACGAGGATATGAAGAAATTGTACCCGGAACTCGTTCAGTACCACAAGATTACTGTTTACGATGTCGCGGAGAAGGTACTTCCGATGTTCGACCAGAAACTCGCGGGGTATGCGATGCAGAAGTTCAAACGTAAGGGGATCGATATCAAGACGAGTCACCATGTTGAAGAGTTGAGGCCGGGGGCGCCTGCCGAAAGGAACTTTTCGGATGATGTGGATGACTATCATTTGTATACGCTCAAGGTGAAAGAGGAGGGCGAGATTGGTGTGGGCATGTGTGTATGGAGTAAGTATCCCTTCCTCTTTCCTTCTCAGATCACCCACTCTCCATTCAGACGCACTCGAGAACGACGCTAACCCCAATCCGCAGGCACAGGACTAATGCAAAACCCCTTCGTCGACCACGCCCTCTCTTCCGTTCGCGAAGCACCAACCGACCTCTACCTCCCATCAAGCTCCTCCTCCTCCTCCTCCTCCTCACCATCATCTACCCAACCCACCACTCCCGGAAAAGACGTAAAATGGATAGTAAAAAAAGACTCTAAATCCGGGTCCATCATAACCGACGACCACCTACGCGTCAAACTCATCCCATCCACCTCCACCCCAGTCCGCACCTCGTCAACATCACAATCCTCCGCACAAGAAGCCATCCACCCCTCCGTCTTCGCCCTCGGCGACTGCGGAATAATCGAATCAACAACCTACCCCGCAACCGCCCAAGTCGCCTCTCAAAAAGCTTTCTGGTTGGCAAAACGCCTCAACGACGGTTCCTTATCCACTCCACCATCCCCCTCCTCCCCCTCCAAAGGCTTCACATACCGCGACCTCGGAACACTAGCTTACATTGGAAACTGGAATGCGTTGTTCCAGGGAGGCGGGAAATGGGGTGGCAGACTACAGGGTTATGTGGCGTGGATTATTTGGCGGGGAGCGTATTTGACAAGGACGGTGAGTTGGCGGAATAAGGTCTTAGTGCCGGTTTATTGGGTGGTTAATTGGGTTTTTGGGAGGGATGTGAGTAGGTTTTAGGGGGGAAGTGGATGGCATGGGTAGGATGGAGGGGATGTGGGTGGCGGTATGTAATGTGTAGGATTTCAGCTTTCGTTAGGAGCGTTGAGGGACGTGAGATAACATCGGTCACTGTTCTGTAAATTCCGTGAAAAGAGATGTAGTTATATCACCTATAACTTCCATAAGAAGAGATGTAGTTATATCACGGCGCACATTACATATCACTGCAAACAAAGCTTCGTGTTGATACTTTCATGTATTGATATAGCACTACCGATTACCAGGTAGTTTCTACTCAAATAACTACTCGACGATATCGTAAAAAGGGGGGGTATCAAAATGGCTTCAAATCATCCATGTGAAAAAGTCCCTTGCCGCCCATCCATCCATAAAGAGAAGAAAAAGATCCAAAACGCCTCGTGGATCATCCGAACGTGAACGCTCACTATGTAATTTACTGGAATAGAAAAGACTCCATCGTCACAATCACTCCCCCATCCTACGCGTCTTAGGACTCTTCTTCGGAGGCGGGTTAAACGAATCGCTCGTGCGGGCGCGTTTGAGATTCGCCGGTGGACCAGCCCTGCTGCTTCCACTGCTGGCCTGACTGGCACGCTTAGCCAACTTGGCGGCCTCGCGAATGCGAACACCACCGGCGGGGCTGTTGAACCCACTTCCGCCTCCAGCGGTTGCAGCCGAACTTCCTGCGGGAATCTCTTCGGCGAGACGATCGGCGAGAGCAGCGTCGTATTCGCGCTCGCTGGCACGGACAGCGCTGGGGTCTTGTTGGCGGGCTGTAGCGAGCATGTCGACGCTGCCGTCGTCGCTGTCTTCGTAATCGGACTCGGATCCTTCGGAGACGTCGGAGGCGATGGGCGCGATGTTGAGGATCTGCATGGCCGTTGTAGGGCCGCCAGAGTCGCTGTCGCTGTCGGGCTCAGATGAGGCGTCGGATGCAAGGTCCGAGTCGACGTCGCCAGAAGAGCAGGAATCCAGTGGAAGGAAAGAGGCAGGAGGGAGAGTTGAGCTAGGAAGGCTTTTACGTGACGCAGAGAGAATCCTTTCCTCAATCACACGCTGAGGACTTGATCTAGGAGATTCGACTTCAGGAGATGACTGCCTGTTGAGTGCATCCTGGATGGCCTTGGGGTACAAGGTGGACCAGCGGCGAGCGGCGACGTGGGATGGCGCGGTGGGTACTTGTGATCGTCGTACGTGGATGGAGAAGTTGTCCTCTGGCTGCACACCACCCAGACCCGAAGCCTCAAAGTCCATGAGTTCTGGGCTGGTGTTGCCGCTATCGTTCCTCAAGGCCTCGGGCGAGAAGCCAAGGTCATCTCCACTCGAGACAGTGCGTGATCCGCTGTCAACATCCATCGGCGTAGTGTCCAGAGGGCCTCGAGGCTCGGCCAGGTCCAGCGACGTCCTCTTGGTCGGGGACGATGTGCCCTGTTTGGCACCAAGAGGCTGGTTCGTGATTGGCTGATAGTTGCCGGGCATGGTAAGGAAGGCGCCGTTACGATCACCGCTCAGGTCAGTGCAGAACTTGGCCTTGGTGTAGAAGATCATGGGTCCGTCATCGCGCCTGCGAGGTTTTGATGAAGAGCTCTGCATGATGGAACTGCTGAAACCCGAGGAATTGCCCGTGGGCTGGGGTTGGTAAGAGTAGTTGGCTGAGGATTCGGCGTCGAAGGCGTAAAACTCGTCTTCGTTCTCCGACTCATCCTTGTGGAAGAACATGGGTTTGTACGCAAACTTGTTTTGCTCCTTCTCACGCTGGACACGAGCTTGCCTTCTGGCAATCGTGGCTTCATCCATCATGTCGCTGCTGGCACCGCTGTTGCCAGTCTTCATACCCTTGAAAGGCGACTGGGAGCCGGACTCATTCGGTGAAGCACCACTCCAATGCTCCGACGAGCTGTCGCCGCTGTGCTTGGTAATGTCGAGGCCGCCCTTCCATCGGATTTTGCGACCGTCGCGAGAGATCTCGAGATGGTTGCTGTACTCGTGCAAGGCGTCCTTGACGAACTCGGGTGTGACGTTTAGAGTGTGTAGTTGGGCCATGTTGATGACCAAGTTTAGGTAAATCCAGCCGTGGCCGAGGGGTGCTTCTCCAGAGTCCATGTCCGGTGGGGTGAAGCCAAGATGGCGGATGTAGTCCATGTTCTCTGTAGGCACCTGCGCACGGTAAGGGTCCAGGTCTAGCGGTCGTGTGGGTCGTTGGTCGGGAGATAGACCTGAGCCAGCGAAGTCCTGTTCCTCGATATGCAGGCTGGGGCGGAAGCCCTGTAGGACTTCGTCCTGGTC